GAATGTTTTGGTTTTCTCCCTTGGATTTTTCACCATTCTTCCTTGTTCCGGTGCACAGTTTTATTTATATGTAGGCCTATGTGGAGTAGGTGAATAAGTTTTTAATAAACCTGTGAAAACAAGGATCAGCTCTTTATCGCCAAATGTATTTCTTTTTGAAAAGTTAACAGAAATATTCCTAATTAACAGAATAGTAACAGCCCCCCCCCCCCCTGCGGAGCACGCCATCAACTTCACCCAACGAAATGAAACAAAATGTTTATAGACCTAGAGAATGACCTAGAATCTAGATGTTGAACTATTTTATGTTAACCAGTGCTCGCCCCTCCCGGAAATTTTAAGTGCACCCCCCCCCCCCAGAAAATTCAAGTGCCACCCCTTCCTCCTCCCGGAAAAAAAACCTGTTCAGTGACATCTGTGGGGGGATGGAAACTTTCGGGTGGAGTGGGGGGGGGGGTTGGGGGGGAGAGGCGTAGCGACCCCTTCCCGGCGCCGGGGACAAACTTTCGATTTGCACCCCCCCCCCCTTCAAACTTCGATTTGCATGCACCCCCCCCCCCAAACTTCCGATTACTTTTTCCAACCCATTTTGGCGCCCCCTAAGGTCGGCGCCCGGGGACATATGTCCCCCCCCCCTGCCCCCATCGCTACGCCTCTGGGGGGGTGAGAGGTTACTTACATTTCCGTGTGTATGTATGGGGGGGCCGGGGCACTAATTGAAGTATTTATTTTGTATATTCTATTTCATTCGGGAAGGTGGAGCGGTAGTGGTAGATGTGCTTCGGCGTCGGTGGAGGAGGGCGGTGTCCCCGAAGAGACGCCTGACAGAAACTCTGAAAAGCGTTGTTTTGAGCGACTCGAAAGCGCAATATGCTCGGCTGCTCGTAACATACATATTGTAGAATCTAGATCTTGAATCTAGTTAATAGTAGTAGGTAAAGTGCTTCATATGTGTCGCAAGTGTAAACGCAGTGAAGGGATTTGTCTAAATTAAAAAAAAAAACTTGTCCAAGTTCAATATTAAGTGGAAACAATCAGAGTTTCTTTCAGGCATCTCTTCGGGGGGGGCCAAAGCCCCCCCCCCCCCCCCGAATTTTTTTTTACCCCCCCCCCCCCGAACGAAATGAAATTTATATAATTTATATAGAAAATATATACTTTTAACAGTGTCCGCTCCGCCCCCCCCCCCCCCCGAAGAAAGTTTACCGCCCCCCCCCCCGAAGATTTCAAGTGCCCCCCCCCCCCCCCCCGGAGAAAAAAGTCTGGAAGAAACACTGGAAACAATTAAATACGTTAGTTTGTCTAATTAACTAGATTAGGTATAGAGAATCTAGATCTTGATCCAGTTATTAAATTCAAAATTTACATATTTAATCCAGAGTTTCTCCCCCCACCCGAAGAGTCTACATTTACATAGGAAATGTATACTTTTGACAGTAACTTTTGACCCCCCCCCCCCCCCCCCCCCATCCCCCGGAAATTTTAGTCCGCCCCCCCCCCCCCCCCGAAAATTTCAAGTGCACCCCCGGAGAAAAAAAGTCTTGAAGAAACACTGATTTAATCTGCGTAACGACGTATTGTAAGGTCTATCATATGTTGTTTTTTTTTTATTTTATTTTACATGGATATTTACGAAAATAAAATAAGTGTAGCTTCGTTTTGAATGCGTCACAGTGCTATAGTAACAGGCTCTTTAGCGGGTTCGAAAGAACGGAAGGCAGAAGAAGAATAAAAACAAAAAAACTTGCTTGTAAACCGAATAAAAGGTGGAGTTGTCTTATAAATATATAGATTCTAAATCTATATTTATACAGTTTTACATCTTTTACCTTGTTAGAGTTAGGGTTAGGCTAGATCTAGAGTCAAATCTAATTCTTATACTTAGACTAAGTCTTAGTTAGTTATATTATGTTCGAAGTGTCTACTCGGAATAAGATTTTTCGGCAAAAGATAGCTCTGCGCATGCGCAGTGACCTATGGCTAGGGTTAGAATGAGGGTTAGGGGTAGGATTAGGGATAGGGTTAGGGCTAGGGTTAGGGATAGGATTAGGGCTAGGGTTAGGGATAGGATTAGGGATAGGGTTAAGGATAGGATTAGGGTTGGTATTAGGCCATAATTAGGGTTCTGCGGTTGTAAACACACGCATGCGCAGTACCATCGAAAACATCGCCGCTAAGTCGTAGTTTCTCTCCATTGCGCATGCGTATCGCATGCGTATCTTATTCCGACTAGAATCGGCCTATTATGTTAGGGGCCTATAAACTTTAAACTAAATTACTAAAAGTAAAAGAAAAAAGGAAAAATAAAATAATAATTTTAATAATTTATTTAAATTAATTTAAAAAAAAAATTAAAATGAAATAAAATGTATCTAGATCTAGATCTAGTAAAATTATTAAATAAATATTAACTAGAGTCTATGCCTATTAAAGGCCGATTCTAGTCGGAATAAGATACGCATGCGATACGCATGCGCAATGGAGAGAAACTACGACTTAGCGGCGATGTTTTCGATGGTACTGCGCATGCGTGTGTTTACAACCGCAGAACCCTAATACCAACCCTAATCCTATCCTTAACCCTATCCCTAATCCTATCCCTAACCCTAACCCTAACCCTAGCCCTAACCCTATCCCTAATCCTACCCCTAACCCTCATTCTAGCCCTAACCCTAGCCATAGGTCACTGCGCATGCGCAGAACTATCTTTTGCCGAAAAATCTTATTCAGAGTAGACACTTCGTTATTTATTAGTATTAAAAATTAAAATACCTAGGCCTAGAGATTATGACTGCTCTCTATAGTATAGTACTCTATAACTACTATACACTCTATATAATATTGACTATAGGCCCTATTGATCTGTATTCTCTATTCAGTGTGAATGAATGTATTTTACATACTGTGTTTTAATGATTAGAAACATAATGAACATACAATTTGATATTAGAAGTCTAGTGGAAAGCAGGCAGTCTCCTCTAGCTAACTCATGTGGTTTTAGGGTAAAATACTCCAAAATTTTTTTAGTATGGTGCATCTACCTACCTAGTGTCTACTCTATGCCCTGCACACACAGCATATGCCAAAGGCCTAAGGCTTACTAATTAGTGTTAGTATTGTTATGCTAGTAAACTTTTAGGTCTTTGAATTAGCAAGGATTAGGGTTAGGTCTGATGTATCAGAATATATATTAAATTAATTTATTGCTAGCCGTATTTGGATATTATTAGCCAAATGAAAATGTATTTAATTAAAACAATTAATTTTAAAATATACAAGAAATATTCTTAAAGTTGGACACCCATACATAAACCCAGTATCTAGAAAACACTTAACTTGTATGGTTTAGCCGCAGTTAAGGTTAAGTTTTGATCTTACATTAGATTAGTAATAAAACAACACCATATGTAGATTTAGATGTTAGATTTACAAACATGTAGGCCAGACTGTTTTGGCAAATACCTTTTTTTATTAAAATGTTCCTCTTTATTTTCAGTATTTGTCTAATCATTATGGAGACAGAACTTACTTCCTTTTCTTTGAGAGAAGATACAAAGAAATACCTAGCAGAGCACAAAATACCTCAGGTAAACTTCCAAAATGTTATTTTAATTTTTTAGTTATTATTTTTCTCTAAAATGACTATTCTTGTGCATTTTCAGTCAGTTTTTGTTAATGGGGTTGATTGTTAGGCATATTGTTATTGAAATAAAAAATAATTTAGTACATATTTCAAGAAAATGTTAAAATACAATCATGCATAAAAAATATTCTAGATCATTTTAAATATTAAAAAAATTCACCTTTGAAAATAACAGCTTTTGAAAATATAATTTTATAATTTTTCACAGCTTTTTGAGTCACTTCTGAGCTCTTTAATGATGGAACGCCCTGAGAATCCAGTAGAATACATAGAGAATAAGATGTGCCAAATTCGTGATATTGGGCCAGAGAATATCAACTGGGAGACCTTGATATCACACCTTCATCCATACAGAGATAACATACGGCGCCAACTCATCAGAGATGGGAGCATCTTTGACAAGGAGTACTCTGAGATACTTGGCGAGGTACAACTCGTTATGACTCAATTTGTTTTCATCTTCACGCTGTTGTAAAAAATTTATTTTAAGAACTTAATTTTTTTAAAAGTAAATTCCTGAAATGTTATTCTATTTTTTGCCCTAATCCATAATTTAAACATTGTTGATAAGAAAAACCGTTATTTCCTTTCCTATATTTCATTTCTTATTTTATTTTTTATTTTAAGATGGAGGACTTTGAACAGAGAAAGAAGGATTGCTTTGAATTTATTGCTCAAGAAAGATACAAACCAGAAATATTTTCACTTACTGAGGCCAATTCTTAGCGGTGGTTGTGGACAGGAGAAGCATTTCTTGCTCTTCAAAGGCAAAGTGTTTAAGAACTGAGATTATTTATTTCCTTTCATTTTTCAGGTAATAATTCTAATTTTATATTTACTTCTAAAAACAATTCCTAAGTTTTGCTATGTTTAGAACATTTAAGGAATTTAGAAGCAAAAAGATTCAGAGCCAAATATTTTGCAAGAAATCAAGTTTCCCTTAATCACAAAAATAGTTAAGGTTGGTGATAGTTTGTTTAAATATCTGCTGAGTAAAATGTATTTTTTTCAATTTGGTTTATGTTTACAGCACCAAACTTAACATAGTTACAAATGCGTTTTAAAGAGAATTTAAAAAAAAAAAGCAACAATTTCTTTTCAGTTATTGAAATTGTAAATTGCTTACATTTCAAATTGAAATGATATTTAATCATTAAATGTAAAAAATAAGATTCTTTATATACCATAACATTACATAAAGTGCAATAAGCAAGTCTTAATGTCATTAAACAACTTCATAACAACCCATTATTTGAAAATTTTTAATAAGAAAGTGTTGTTTGAAAAATAAATTCATTCAGAAAATTTAAAAATGTTACTTTTGATAAAATATTTTATGAAAATAATGTTTGTGTGTGTGTGCGTGTGCTAAGATACAGATTGTTCTTTCATAGAACAGATATTTTGCTCATTCTCATGCATCTGTGCACTGTCTAAATAGATGTATCATTTTCATCAGAATTGTACATTTGATATTCAGATACAATACATCTAAAAATATGAATGTAAATTTTTTTTTTTTCTTCAAGATACCATACAGTATTTGATGTCATTGTATTGATAATTTTATCTTCTACTTGAATCCATTAAACATTAAAAATGTTTAGTTAATAATTACTTATTTCAGTTTTAACAATTTTTTGGGGATTGTAAATTTTTTTATTAAGCTCAATTTTGGAAATAAATACACCAGTTAAAAATGTAGGTCTAATGCCTTCCATCTTGCCTCAGTAATTGATAATCTGAACAACCATTTTAAAATAATGTGGATTGCATTTATATCATTTGTATTCACATTGTTTTTTCCCCTAACATGTAAGTACCTTATTTACAATATTAAAAAGAGTTTTCAAAGCCACAGTTTTACAATTTGTATGATTTTCTTGCTTAACCTGTGCACTGTGATTTACTTACCTGTTCTGTACTGCTGTTGTTTTGTGTATGAGAAACAGGCCTGAGAATGAACATTGATTTTGATAGTGTGTTAAATATTTAGTGAAACTGACATTATAGTAGATGTAATTGCATAGATTACCTTTGTGTACTTTATACTTGTTGGACTCAGTAGAATGTATGTGTACAACCTCAGCCATCTTGAATAAGAAACCATGAATCATCTGGTCTGGTTTTGCTGTAAAGCATCGTAGAGTTGAATAAAGTTTAAGAAATATATTTCACTCCAAGACCTCACTACCAACCTTCGCAATCTCATGCTATATGAGGTAGATTATAGCTCATTTATTGATAACATGATACATTATATTCTAACTTTATAAATACATTTTCTGGTGGTGTTAAAATAAAAAAAGTTGTTTGGGATTGTTGGGGATTTATTATTGATCCAAGTGTGATATATGTTACTGTACATTTAAGCTATACTGAAGTGGGCTGACAAAACATTAGAGATGGCCAAATCCTCACTCACAGTAATGTCAGCTCAGTAGCAATTGAAGTGTCCCTGACCTCACTATGTCTGTGGTGGCTACTTAAGTGACCAAAACCTCACTATCAAGTATTTTGAAAGAGTAAAATGCTTCATAAAATTATACATCAATCGAGTTCCTTGTCAAAATGTCACCCTGGTCCTAGAATCTATACGTACCTCAAGGGGGCAAAAGAAACAAGAGGGGGGGGGGGGAGAGGGAAGAGATTTCATTTAGGGCAATCTAGCATCAAATGTAAGGGAGGTAAATCTGATTTAAAATTTTTAAAGTAGCATTAAAATGGATTGTTTCCCTTATTACGGTAGCTGTCTTGTGCTAAACCAGAATGAATCGAGTTGTTTGACAAACGCCATAGTTATTATAGATCCAACATATATATTGAAACAATTTAAATATTGTAAATAACTAATTTATTATTGTACAACAGATGTACACATATGTCTCATAAAAACCGTTCCCCTTATTATTTACAATGTACGATTCCCAATTGAAGATAATTTTAAGTTTTAAAGTGCTTTCGAGAAACGGTCACCTACAAATTGTGTAATACATAAGATATAGTTTTGTTTCAATTTTGGGGTCGTCCATAAATGATGTAACACTCCTAGTGGGGAGGGGGGTACGTAATTCTGTGACGGTGTGTGATGAGGGGGAGGGGGGAGGGGTTCAGATCGCGCGACGTCACACAGAAAACGAATTTTAGACGTTATTTCGCGTTTTAGAAACTGTTTTAATAGGAATTGATTCAAATACTCTATGTTGACAGAGTTATGACAAGATTTTGGAAAAAATATCGATGTTTTAAGAAAAATTCAACAGCAATTTTTAGGGGGATGTTGTAGGCCGAGATGTGACGTCATTTTAGGGGTCTGGCTTTTTGTGACGACGTGTGACGGAGGGGAGGGGGGGAGGTATAATCATTTAAAAAAGCGTGACGTCATTTATGGATGACCCCTTTTCGAATCACGGAAAGGCCAGTCTTACCTTTTTCAGAGTAAAATACTTTTAAAATGTTGTTACAACGCGAAAATTCCATTGCGCGTTTGTCTGAATATGTTATGTGTGTGTTCAATCCATGGTTATGTTTTTTTTTTTCAGGTTTAGGGTTAGGTTTATGCAGCTGTTGAGTAATTTTTTTCCCAGGTAGCTTTAATTTAATTATGGGTGTTGAGCTCGATGATATCGTAGACGAATACAAGTCCGCTATTAGCTTAAAATCACTTAATTCCCACTATCCTAAAACCCACATTTATCTGCCCTATAATAAATCACTTAACATGCGTATGCCCATTTTTTTAATTCCCCGACTTACCTAGGGAAAATACATTAACATACGGATACATCCAACCCACAAATATACTTTTCTAGGGTTCTTAACTAATTCTAATAGTTTAAACAAAGCAAGTTCCATTTTATAAACCAAAATTCTCCATAAAAAAGTAAAACTACCCATTCGGAAGTTAAATCATGTTACTTGACCACGGCTTATGAAGGGATGGTCTACTCTTTCTAGTCGCCTTTACCCTCCCTAATGTGAGTCATAGCTGGATAGACTCAAGGACTTTATACAAGTCCGTGATTTGAACTCGCGACTTCTGGATTAGTGGTCGAGCGCTCTACTAATCGACCACGCCATACCAAAAAAGTATGCAACTGCTAACTTGAAACTTGATTTACAAACTTGCATCTCACTACGAAACATAAAGGCCTCCACATAAAGCGTCTCACCATAGGCCTCTACATAAAACATCTCACTATAAAACAAATAGGCCTCTACATAAAACATCTCACTATAAAACAAGTAGGGCTATACATAAAACATCTCACTATAAAACAAGTAAGCCTCTACATAAAACATCTCACTATAAAACAATGTCAAGGCAATGTTAGAGCCCATATGCCCGTAACTTTTCTTAAAACAAAAACCCCAAAACAATCCACGCATACAATGGCCTCGTGTATTTAATGATAGTGCTTTTCTCCATGACGTCAGCGCGCATGCAGTGTGATAGTTTCATCATGAATCGGCTGCAGGAGAATGCCACAAGATTGCTCAAATAAATGTATTTTGGGATTTTTTTACGTTGAGAGGTGGGGTGGGGTGGACATAAATGTTGATACGTAAAACGAGTCTATATGCTCGTTATGTGATAGAAATATAAAACATATAATCGTGAGGGAAGGAGTAGATGGATGGTTGATGAGAAAATGATGATACGATGCATATTATTATGACGATTTGCATCTTTATCTGTTGGGGTTTCGTTAAAGTTAGGGGCGAGTTAGGGAGAAATTATACAGGGACGTAGATCGTGAGTTGTGCAATGGGCATGTATTTACTTCCCTTGGGAATGCGTTATTTGAATATGATCGCAGCCGAAGTAGGTTCAATATTACTGTCTTTAAAATCATGGAGGTTTTCTCTTATTGAGCCAAAGCAGATAGCCTACATTAGGCATGCTGCTCTTTAACCTACATTCTATATCTAGTTGTATTATAGGGGATGGGGAGAAAGGGTGCTGTTTAGAAAAAAAAAACTGACTTTGGAGGAAATCGTAATCTTCCGTTAAAAGGTACCAAACGGTATAACCACCCACGACAAATCATTATAATAATATTTTCCGGTTTTAAGATTGCATTGAAGAAGACTATTTAGTACAAAGGTTTTTTTTGCAATTAAATGATATGGTTAGCTTCAGAGGTTTGGGCTAGAGTTTACGAAGACAAGATTATGTTTTACGTATCAGTTATGTGCAGATCGAGGCTTGGTCGAGTCGGTAGAACTCATGGTTCCTAATCCGAAAAGTCTCGAGTTCGAACCTTCGATAGCTGGGGACAGACACTCTTCTAGGAGAGACAACTCCAAAATCAAACAACTGCTGCTTTGTAGTTTGTTCTCGGTTGGAAAAGGCTATGGAAGCAAATCCAAAAAGAAAAGCAGGCTGAAATCGGAGTCAATGGCCTCTATGGCACATAACTAGTTGACACGTATCCTTAATTGTGATGAAGGCGTGGTCGAGTCGGCGTTTTCAAAGATTAGGTTTTACGTGTATGTTAAGCACATTAATGCTATACTCTAGATAGTTAAATAGCAATATAAACAGAAATGATATTTCAACGCCAAGGGTAAACAAAGGTACAGAAAATAGTCGTAAAGACAGAGCAGTCAGAAACCAACGGGATCCGAACCTACCATTGCAACGCCTGCTTCCACCCCCCTCTACTGTAGATGGTTCAGACTTTAAAAAAAAAAGTGAAAAGAAGGACAATGGTTCCTGAAGTGAGTTTCGTAAGCCTGGCTTTTTAAATTATTTCTATAGTGTACCATTGGACGAGTGAGCTACAGGACTGAGGGGGGGGGGGGGGGGGGGGGTAGGAACAACAGAGAACTTGAAGATTAAAAGTCATCACCTTAATTCTACGGCTTTACGCGTATGAATAATACAGTCGCTGTATTCAAGTCTGCCGCATCAAATATTTCATTAATTAGCCCGGTAGATTTGATACCCCGCTAATCAAACTCAACTGCGACGTTGTCAGCACGAAATCAATACATCTGTCGATTTTATTACCTGCTTTCTCTAGTATGCGCTATGGCGCATGCGCGGACGGGGGGAAAGCAGGTGGCCATATTGTGTCGTCTGTCAGGTATGACGCAGCGCAGACCTGACGGGGCAGACTTTTCTTGAAGGAACAAGACGATTTTCTCGTTGAGTGAACCAAAATAACAGACCCGCATTCAGGGGATCAGTTTTCCGGGGCGGCAGTCAGGAAAATAATTCGTAATCAATTAATCGGGGTACTTTGCCTGAAGTTCCAACGCCATCATTTGCGGATATATCATCATTTTGAAATATATTTTATAATTAATTTCTAATTTAAAAAAAACACGTTTAATCTAATTAACAATATTTTAAAACAGTAAAGTTAATTTAAAAAATTAACAAAAATTCATAAAAAACGTTTTAATAACAAGCTTTTATGTAATGATGCACTAAAAAGTAGAAAATAAATTATAGACTACTATTTAAATAACTATAAAGAAAAGCGTGGGTCACTTTAGTATCTATTGGATACCTTTACTAATGTTAAGGAAGACACCCACGCTTTTCTTTATAGTTATTTAAATAGTAGTCTATAATTTATTTTCTACTTTTTAGTGCATCATTACATAAAAGCTTGTTATTAAAACGTTTTTTATGAATTTTTTTTCAGTACTTTACATGTTTTATTTACAATAGAGTTACATGACTAAAAACCATTGCGCGCCTACTGAACATCACGTTCAGTAGGCGCGCAATGGTTTTTGAACGCAGCCATTACGTGGTCGTGATGGCGCAGCTATTGATGACGCGTGTGGTGTGGTTGGCTAGACATGCCTACTAATTCGGTCCAAATTTTAATTAATTCATAAAAAA